TACAGGATAGAGAGGCACTACTGCTTCATTGATCAGGCGGAGATCCTGGACTAGCCTCCATTTGTTAGGTCCCTTCCTGATACCGAGAATAGGAGTATTATATGGGCTGGAGCATTCTATTAGCAGTCCCTGTCTCTTTAAGTCTTTGATTATGGGAATTAGCCCCTCCTTAACTTCTGGCTTTAAAGGATACTGTTTTTGATGGGGAAACCAGGAGGGGTCCTTGAGATGAATTAGGACTGGGGCAGCTGTTTGTGCCCATCCCACAGTGTGTCCATCCATCCACACTGTAGGGTCTACTTGTTCCTCTATTAGGGGCAAGCAAAAGTACTCTCCTGGGGGTAAAAGTAGCTGTAACCCCCAATTTGGGTAGAAGGTTTTGCCCTAGCAGAGGAGTAGGGGTTTCTGGGACAATTAAAAAGGAGTGACAGAAATGGAAATCTCCCCAGGAGCAGGCTAAAGGCTGAGTGAAATAACGTTCTAGAGGCTGGCCTGATATGCTTCGAACAGTAATTTTCTTGGAGGACCTGGGTCCGGGAGAGAAAGGAATAGCTGAGATGCTGGGTCCAGTATTGATAAGGAGACTGACCTTGTGCTTAATTTGGGGCTCTTCTGCTTTTACAGTGGTTACAGAAGCCTGTATGGGAGGTCCCAGGACCCGTCATTGGGTGGGAGGCTCTGACCTCGGTTCCCCTGAGAACCGGGGACAGTGTGCCTTCCAATGTTTTCCCCAACAAATGGGACAGGGTCCCGAAGGTAGCTTTCTCCGGGGCACTCCCTCCTAAAATGGCCGGCCTGTCCACATTGAAAGCATGTCCTTGGGTTTGGACTTTGTCCAGGAGGAGCCTCTCTGAGCGCTGAGATCAGAGCCTCCTGCCACTTATCCTTTCTTTTTTCCCTTTCCAGGTCCTTCCTTTCTTTTTCTAAGTCCCTGTTATGTGGCTACACGGACCAATTGGTCCAGATCTCTGCTCCCTTCAGCCACCAATTTTTGAAGCTTTTTACGGATATCTGGTGCTGACTATGTTAGAAATTTATCTTTTAGGATGATTTCCTCTTCCTGTGACTCTGGTATAATGTTGGTATGCTTTTGTAAAGCATCCTTAAGTCTCTGTAGGAAATTTACTGGAGTTTCTAAGGGTCCTTGCTGTACAGCTGTGACTTGGGAATAATTAAGAGGTTTTACCTTGGCTCTTCTTAGTCCTTTAAGAATGCAGTGGATGAAATGGTTATGGCTCCATTCATCCTTGTCATTTTCAGGGTCCCACTTAGGGTCATACCTAGGCATTGCCTGATCTCCTGTTGGAATTGGGAATCGAGGCTCCCTTCTAGGTATCCAATGTCTTTGTCTTTCTTCTCCCTCCCCCTCCTCCTCCTGTGAGGGCCCAGTATGAGACAGGCCTGTAGGGCCTGCTTTTATCTAAGTGATAATTGTCTCCAGCTGTGACTGCCTGATCTAGCACCCACTGTTTCTCCAGAGAAGTGAGGGTCTGAGATAGCAATAGCATTATATCTTTCCAGCTCAGTTCAAAGTTTTGGCTGACTTCTCTAAATGCCTGGTTGTACTGATCTGGATTTTCTGTGTAATTTCCTAAATCCTTTTTTTATTTCTTTAAGTTCACTCACTCTAAAAGGAACATGAGCTCTGTCCCCTCTAGGAATTAACTGGAAGGGGTAGAGTCCTGTGGGACAGCGTCTAGTGTGTGAGGTAGCTGGGTAAGGGGGAAGAGGGGGAGCTGATGGAGCATTAGATGGGTTTTTTTTTGCTCAAAGGAGTTTGGGGGCTTTTTGCAAAGGGTTACCATGGTCTGGGTATCTAGCCTGCATTTGTTTAGCCATTCTGAGTGGTCTCTTAGGAAAAAGAACAATTGAACGTACGGAACTTTGGTCCACTTTCCCTCCTTTTTACAGAACATATCAAATTAAAGAGTGGTATTATAATTAATGCTCCCTCCTTCTTTCCTCGTCTCCCAGAGGATACTGTGGGCAAGCCTGGGTGCAGTAAAACTTGAGTCGCTTTTGTTGAAGACTTTCTGGATCAAGATCTTTCTAATGTTTTAATAAGCAGGCAAGGGGGGATCCTTCCTGGATCCTTGAGGCTTGATTTCCCATCTTAAAAGGGAAACAAGGGAAAATTGGTCACCTTAACAGAGGTTTCTCCTTTTATCTAAGCATCCCCAGAAAAGGAGAAACTCTAGTGGGAGAGGATGTCCCGCTCTCCCTTGCTCCTTCCATTGCCACTCGTGAGTAGAGTCGTGGAGGATTTACAGATAGATATCTCAGTTGCACCCACCCCCCTGAGATGATCTTTGACCAATCTCTCATCTATTTTGACTTGTCTGTTTGCCCTGCGACCCAGGTAGGCCTAGTTCTCCTCTATCAGCTGAATGCTTGTAATTAAAAAGTAACTCTGTCAAAGTAACCAAGAGGGCTTGCATGGCCAGAAGGAGGACCCCTTTAGAGGCATGGATGGGGATTCTTGATGAAGTAGACTTTTGTTCCCCTATATATCCTGTGAGGCATATATGTTTTCTATGAAAGGAGAGAGAGTATCTGGAAGCTTTTGCTCTGGTAAGAGGCAAAAAACAGAGACCTGAGGTTTTTGCCTTTTAACTGTTTTTTTTTTTTCCCTGAGGGCAGGCTGCGGAACCTGTTTAACCAGTTAAACCTGTTTAACCAGTTAATCTGATGCTTGACAAAGACAGTTAAGCCTAAATTGGAGATTAGCACTTTCTGATGCCTGTAGGAGAGATCTGATTGTCTGTTTGCTGCGGACATGGCTGGAGAGGTCCAAGACTTAACCACCTTTGGGACCTCAGGGCGGGTCAGGAAGTTGCATCTCCAGCCTTTGGGTGACACCGGGGAGTGCCCCAGCCAGAACACCTTTTGTGACTTGAAGACAAACTTTCCTTTCCACCAGCTGTTCTTGGACCTCCCCTTAAGCTGGTCAGATCTTGAAAGAGAGTGTTAGCGTTTAAGGAGAGGAAAAAAGAAAAAGCCTTGGTGCGCTGAAGTCAAGTTCTGCCCACGTAGCATTGGCAGTGCAGTACAAACCCCTGCCCGGCCTCTGAGTTTCCTCAGATTGCCTACAGTATAGCTGTAGTGGGCTCGGACCTTTTCCTCAGTTTCCCAAGGAAGAAACCCTCCTTAACAAGACAGAGAGAGAGAAGGTCGACCTGAGAGTTCCACCATAGCTAGGCCGTGGTGGGGGGGTCTCTCCTGGAAAACAGACTCCACTGGAGTGCCGGACGCTCATGGTCACATTCCTAGGCAGTCTTTCCCAGTTTGGCACAACCTATACCGACCTCAGGTGAAGGCTGGTCCCTTCATGGTCGCCAAATATGATGCACAGATGACATGCGCAGGAATTTCAGATGCTCAGGGTTCTTGAGCTTGCTCTGAGAATGAAAGCACAGGCAGACTCCAACAGCAGAGGTCGGAAAGATTTTATTTGCAGAGAATTTAGTTGGAGAAAAGAGAAGAGAAAGACTGCTTATTGGAGAATGCAGGGGGACCCAGAAACCAGTGATCCTTGGGTCAGGGTGGGGAGTGGGTTTTATAGCCTAGTTTGCATTGCCTGAGGGTGGAGATGTCTTTCAAATGCAAACAGGCATTTCCTAGAGAGGAGAAGTGTCTCCTTGACCACTTATCACCCTTTTGGGACCTCCTGCAGTCTGTCCTCCAGTCCTTCACATAGAAACAAAGCACTTGATCAAAATATTTTAAAGCTTTAGTAATTTAAATCATACAGTATACATGCAGAAATAAAGGTTTATATGGGAGATTAATTCATGATAAGGATATCAAAGCCATGAGGAAATGATATATTCATTGATAAATGGTTTTTTGTCCATGGGTGGGGAGGGTGACAAAAGCTTAATCTCTAAGTCAAAATAAACTTTAGATGAAGTATGGGATATTGTTGCTATTGATTTCTGGGTTTTATGTTTGTTTGTTTACAGTATTGGAGTTTGAACTCGGGGCCTCACACTTGACAAGCTGATGCTCTAGTCCTTTAGCCACTTCACCAGTTCTGTTTCAGCAATCATTAGTTGATTTGCTTAAGTTAACTTGGTCCCTTGAATGTTGTGATTCTAAAAAGATACAGGATCATAAGTTTTTGTTTTTAAAATTCACAATTAACATACCCTCTCACAATGTATGCTTTGTTGTTTTTAATAAAATGAGTTCATGTTATGATTTTATATATTTCTCCCCTAATAGTACATAATAGGCTATTTCTGCTTAAAGAGAGCTACATTATCTTCCAGGTGTTGTATATTCAGGTGCTATAAACATACAACACTTAGGTTTTCATGGAATGAAGTCAGGAAAGGTCCAGAGCAAGGTGTGCCCATTTGGATACAAGTCATGTGGTCATGCACCATTTGTCTTTCTCCTCTAAATTAAGTTGTTATATATTTGTAATTCACTGTTTGGATTTAATAATTCAGGTTACTTTAGAGGAAGAAAAAATTGTAAGTTTTCTTAATTGGTCTGAATAAGCTTTATTTTGTTCCCATTTCCACAAAATATTAGAATTATTCTAGCTTTATATTGTTTACTTGTTAGGTCAGCTGCTTGAGAGAAGACTAGATATTGCTAGTTAATTTTAAGAATCACATATTGAGAATGTCGAAATTAAAGTATTAAATTGTTCTGGATGGGCTTTGTATAGCCAGCCTTTCTCCTTGTAATCATTTGTTAGGAAAACAGAATTAGTAGTATACATTGACAGGAAAACCCTGAAAAATGTCTGGTTAGCTTTTGCCATTGCTTGTTTCATTTTTCATATTTCAAAAAACAAGTGGTTGGTCATATTTATTTTCTTATTCTTCTAAACAAACAAGTGTGAAAGCAAGCAAGTAAGAACATCTTCCTTCTCCATGGGAAAGTGGCCATGCCTTAAGGCTATTAAACAGAAATGTGAAACAACAAAATTGCCACCTTTGAGTAACCAAATCATGTTCATCTACTTTCTGTATGTCTTTGTTTTTTAGGCAGCACAGTCAGTGCTGATTTCTTTATTTGAACTTAATACCCCAGAGTTTACAATGTTACTAGGAGCTTTACCAAAAACTTTTCAAGATGGTGCTACCAAACTTCTTCATAATCACCTTCGAAACACTGGCAATGGAACCCAGGTATTCCTCACTTGCTTTTTTTGGCTATTGTATGATAATGATAGTTTAACAGTAATTGCTTTATTTTACATAATGTAAACTTGATTCTAGTCTATGTGATTGTGCATCTGAATTTAGCAGCATTTCCTGAGCAGAATTAAATACTGTCCTGAAAAGAATAGAGTCCTTCAGGACTTTAATGTTTGTATTATGATTTGTGTTCATAAGGGTAGTGATGAACAGTATCCAAGGCATGAATAAGAAAAGCCACATGTGAGCAAAATGTAGATGAGTGTACCAGCTTTGAAAGCCATTAGAATATTAGGACATGCCCTTCAGATGAAGCAGTCCTTATTTGAGCATTAGCAACAGTGACTTATTCCAGGGTTAACAAAGTTCTAAGAGGGTAGTGCTTAGTGAATAAAGACTTGTCAGTCCTTGTGCACATGGATATACAGGATTTTGTTGTGAAGAAGTTAAGGTCTGAGTAAAATGAAGCATTGCAGTAAGATACATAGATCTATCTGTAATTTACATAATATGCCTAAAGAATTAGGCTAAAGTTTTTTTGTTTTGTGCTAGTGGGGTTTGAACTTAGGGCCTCAAACTTGCTAGGCAGGTACTCTACCACTTGAGCCACACCTTCAACCCTGCACTAAAGTTTTAAAAAGAGAGAGACCTTTAATAACAGAAAAAAGAGTGGAAATGTACTTTGTGGCAGGCTTAGGGTATAATCTGAGGGTTTTTTAAAAAATAATCTAAAAATAATTTCTTGTAAGCCAAATCACTTACCTTTTTAAAAAGAGAAAGCATGAGCAAGGCCCTGAGTTCAATAAAAAAAAAATGAATAAAAAGAAGAGTTGATTCATTATATCTTAAGAGATAGACAAATTAATAATTTGACCAAATTTTACTCTCTTAATGTCTTTGTGACAATCATTTGTAAAGCAGACTCAAGAGGAATAAAATTTGATTATTAGTAATGGTTGGAGGAAGGTAATTGGTTATGAACAAGAAGGTAATTTAAAATGTTTAGTTTAGGATCCTATTGAATCTTTGAGGGAAAGGGTGTTAATAATATTTGAGAGAAGGACACAGATGTAAAGAGAAAAGAAAAAGACCAAATGGTTAGATTTCTGAAGGGGGAGAAATACTCTCCCCCAGAAACCAGTCATAAGTATATGAATATTTGAAATATTGGCTTATAAATATTGGCTCTCTCATATGGTTCTATCTCATAACTACATAGCTTCCCTAAGAGCCTTTTGGTTGAACTTGCCTGTCATGTGTTAATATTTGTTTGACTCCTTCCAACAGAGTTCCATGGGGAGTCCTTTGACAAGACCAACACCAAGATCACCAGCCAACTGGTCCAGTCCTCTTACTTCTCCTACCAATACATCACAGAATACTTTATCTCCGAGGTAATAAAAATACAGTATTTTATCATGTTTCATGCTTTGAAAAGCAGATGTTAATATAAGTCGATTTCCACTTGACTTGAGAAGTCTTAGAAAAAGAACTTAGCAAATTCAAACAATTTTTAGTATATTCAGAGGCTAACATGTAGCTTACCCGGTGGCTCACGCCTATACTCTAGCTACTCAGGAGGCAGAGATCAGCAGGATGGAGGTTCAAAGCCAGCCCCCAGGCAGATAGTTCATGAGACCCTATCTCAAAAAAAACCCAACACAAAAAAAGGCTGATGGAGTGGCTCAAGGTATAGGCCCTGAGTTCAAGTCCCAATACCAAGGGAAAAAAAAGGGCTAACACTTTAAATGAAGAGACAAGAAACCTACTGACACAGCTTTTGTTTTTTTCTTAAATAGCATAGTTATATATCTGAGATGTTATGTAAATTCAATAATTATAAATTTTATCTTTCAGTTCTATTACACTACTCAGTATAAATGGTGAGGTCAATTATGATCGAATATTTAGATCTGCTATTAACCAAACACTTAGTGAAGTGGGGGTAAAAATTAAGCTTAGAGGCAAAACATAAAAATAGAGAGGAGGTCTGAAGGTGTGGCTTACACAGTAGAGCACCTGCTTTGCAAACTGGAAGCCCTGAGTTTAAACCCCAGAGCCACAAAAAAAAAAAAAAAAAAAAAAAAAATATATATATATATATATATACATATATAAAAGATAGGTAAGACTAGGACAGGATTAAATATATAATGAATATATAATGGTGTTATTCATACTTCTGAGGAAAAATGTGACAGAGAGATTGGTCCTTAATACAAAATATGAGAGATATAATTTTCACACACTTGGACATTTTAAGCATGGGCTGTATTTCGTATTAAGTTCTTGATTTATTAATAGTTATTATTTGATTTTTGTTATTAGTCATACACCACAGCTTGCTTCATCAGATTATTCATTGAAATTACAGGATGCCACATGAGTGTCTAAGAAAGAATAATACATTCAAAACTCATTGTCTAACCTGTCTGTTTATACATATGTGACAATTTGGGTATATAAATTCCAGCCTTCTTTGATTTTAGAATTTGATTATAGAATTAATTTCATTAACATTTATGATCAGTGTTACAAATTCTCCTCCTTCATATAAACTTGTTTAAATATTTCTTTTCAAGGAGTGCCATCATTGAGTTAATCCCAAGGATTATCAAACTTTCTGTAAAAGTGAGTGAAAAATATTTGAGTCATATGGTCTTTGTGGCCATTACTTAACTCTACTGTTTTCATACTATAGTGTGAAAACAGTCACAGGGAATCCCTAAATAACTAAGCATATGTGTGTGTGTTCCAATGAAATCCTACTATATACACTGAAACTTGAATTTCATATAATTTTCATGTGTCATAAAATACTCCTTTGATTTTTTTCACCCATTTAAAAATGTAAACAAACATTCTTAGCTTTCACACCTCCCATAGTTTACTGACTCCTGGTTAATCAGAACATTTTTGAAGGTAGAAAGATAAACTGGTTGTTAAGAACTATGCATTCTAATAAGAGGACTAAGGTAGAAAGGAGAAAAATAGAAGGGATGGACCAACTCAGATTATAATACATATATATATGGAAATGTCACAGGGAAGCTTCCTGTATAGCTATTTTAAACAAAAGTGTCTTTTTTTAAAAATGGACTCAAAGGTCAAAAAGGTCCTGTCTGGGGGTTGGTACCAGTGGGAGGCGTGGTGGATATATGGAAAAAGGTATAGAAGGGTGAATATGGTGGAAATACTATGTACTCATTTGTGCAAATGAGACCTGTTAGAAACTATTCCAGGAATGGGGAGGAGGAGGGATAAAGGAGAATGATGGAGAGGGTGAATTCAACTATGATATATTGTAAGAACTTTTCTAAATATCACAGTGTACCCCCAGTACAACAATAATATAATAATAAAAAAAAGTTGTGCATTCTAGATTCATTGTAAGTAATTCTTGGTGGAGGACAAGGGAATGTGAACATTAACCATTTATAGCTCCCATGTTTTATTTTGGGGAATATACATTTTCTAATCCAGTTTATAAATGCCCTATGTCATTTCCTCAGATGTACCGCATTTTTAAACTATACATGAATAAAAACTGTTCTTACGTTTTTCACAGTGCATTTGACTACGACACAGAAAACATGAACTCCGATGACATTTACAGCTCTCTTAGAGGTGTGACTGAGGCGATCCAGAGTTTTAGCTTCCGCAGTCAAGAAGACATGAGTGAGCCACTGAAAAGGGACCCTAGAAAAGACGATGGTGACTCAGTGAGTATTTGAATGTTCTTATGTTGTGCATGTTTGAATGTTCTTAAATTGCTGACTGCTTGAGTTTCCGTTAAGGTTTTGATTTTTATTTTTACTATGCCTTCTCATATTTTCACATGAAATTTTCTACAAGTCAGTCACTCTGTAAACACTAAGTATCAGACACATGTCAGCCACTTTTTAGATTTTAGATTTATAAGACGAAGTCATTGCCCTCAAGTTCCTTTTGGATTTTCATGTACAGATGAACACTGTGGAGTTTTAGCTTAGAATGTGCCTGGGAAGGGAGCAGTACTGTAATACAGTGATAGAGCACTTGCCTAACACAAGCCCCAACACCCACAAAAACAAATAAAAGGCCTAGCAGAATGTGCCTTAAGGGAAGATGAATCTGTTTTAGACTATGTGGTAGGGGAAGGAAGACCTCTCTCATGAAGTGATGTTTGCACTGAGACTTAAATAAAGCAACATAAAATGTAGGAGAGAATTCCATGAACGAATTAACAAATATCAAGGTATATTGGAACCATTTTTTATAGTTGAGAACCTGGAAGAAAGCCAGTGTAATTAGAGCATTATGAAAAAAAAGAGGAGTAGGACATGGGCCACAGCACGAGTTGAGTCTTTTTTTTCCTTGTGGTGCTAGGGATGGGACCCAGGGCCTTGAGAATACTAGGCAAGTGCTGTATCACTGAGGTTCACTGCCAGGTGACATGAATCCTGTAAAGAACTTAGGTTTTTTTCCCTCTATTAATTGTAATGATAGTGATTTTCATTATCAGTTTACATGGCTCCGATTCAGAATATTACGAACTAACTTTCTGACATGAATATTATTGTTTTTTTTAATTTTATTTTATCATTTTTACATATACTTACATGTGTATGTATTATTTGGGCCACCTCTGCGTGTGCCCCCCCATATTGTTTAATTTCCTGTCTCTGCTAGTATACAAAAGTAGTTGGTTTTTACTTTGGTTTGCTTTGACTTTTCTCTGTCAAGTTAGACTTTTATTACACCAAGCTACTCTGCCATTTTTCAGTGTTTGCAGAACTGCAGATAAGGGTGCAGTTGTTATGAGTGGGATACATCATCCACGTCATACTTCAGTTTATGTCAGCTCCTGAGCTTCTCCCCTGTAACTGCTCTTCCCTGTGTTTGCTTATGACAACAATCAGCAACATCCTGGACAGAAGAGTTGTCCCTAAGTCTCCTTGATTGCTCTCTTTCTCACCCTCCATACCCAGCCTGTCTGGAAATCTGTTGGCTCTACTTCCAGAATATATCCAGAATTCTAAACACTTCTCACCACTGCCTGTCTGGTTCAAGCCATCATCATCCACCATGTCCCTTACCTAGATTATTAAAATAGTCATATGATTGGCCTCTTTAATTCTGCCCTTGGCCTCCCATAGTGTCTTCTTAATTCCTCTACTTACACCTTTATACAAGGTCCCTGTCTCTTAGTAAAAGCCAAAGTTTAACAATAGACTCTTTTCCTGTTCCCCTGTGGTTTCATCTCCTTGTTTTTCCTCTTCCTGCCACACTGGCCTCTTTGCTGTTCCTTGAATTTGCTGGGCTTGCTCCTGCTTTTCAGGGTCATTGTATTGGGTACTCCTTTCCAGATAGTTCTATGGCTAATTCCTTCATATCTCTGTAGTCTTCACTCTACAGGCTTCTCAGTGAACCTGCTTACTCTAAATCTGTGAGCCCCCTTCTGCACACACACCCCAATCCTCATGAGCTTTTAATTCTGTACTACTTACTCTTTTTTTTTTTTCCCCACAAACTAATCACCTACCAGATACTCTACTCATTCATTATTATCTCTGACCCTCCACTGGAATGTAAACTCCATGAGTACAGACAGCATATTCTCTTTTGTTCAATAATCTAATGCTGAGAACAATGCCTGGCATGTAATAGGTGTACATTAAATGTTTGGAAAATATTTAAAATGCTTAGCAAATGACTTAGCACATAGTTGCACATACTTGTGGTGGTAACCGTTTTGATAATAGTATTCATGATTCAGTGTTAGTACTGATATTTCAGCAAGTATGTTAATGTGCCCCAACTCTATTGGCATCCTTCCAAAAGTTATTCAGGCCTTTTGAACCTTTCCGGGTTTTTTTTTTTTTTAAGTCCTTTTTTTTTAAAAATTGACTTTCTTAAACTTCGTTGACATTATCATTGTATAATTTACTGCCTTAATAATAGAACCTGGAAGTTTTTACTTCTGTGTTGCTAATGAAAATTCTTGGCAGCAGTGGAGTTTGAACTCAGGACCTCATACTTGCTTGCTAGGCAGGTATCCTTACTGCTTTAGCCACTCTACCAGCCCTTATTTGTGATGGACTTTTTCAAGATAGGGTCTTGAGAACTATTTGCTTGGGGATGAGTTCAAATCTCAATCCTCCTGATCTCTGCCTCCTGAGTTGGCTAGGATTACATGTGTGAGCCACCAGTGCCCAGCCTCTTTTGTATCTCTACCTGGCATGGAGAAGCTATTGTTATCATACTGCCTATATTTTATCTGATTGAGCCATTCATAAGAAAACTAACACCTTTGGAAGCAGCATTCTTTTATAGTTTCTTATTTGTCCTCATGGCTTTACCTTCTTTTTTTTTTTTCATTTTTCTTTTATTATTCATATGTGCATACAAGGCTTGGTTCATTTCTCCCCCCTGCCCCCACCCCCTCCCTTACCACCCACTCCGCCCACTCCCTCTCCCCCCCCCCAATACCCAGCAGAAACTATTTTGCCCTTATCTCTAATTTTGTTGAAGAGAGAGTATAAGCAATAATAGGAAGGAACAAGGGTTTTTGCTGGTTGAGATAAGGATAGCTATACAGGGCATTGACTCACATTGATTTCCTGTGTGTGGGTGTTACCTTCTAGGTTAATTCTTTTTGATCTAACCTTTTGCTAGTACCTGTTCCCCTTTTCCTATTGGTCTCAGTTGCTTTAAGGTATCTGCTTTAGTTTCTCTGCGTTAAGGGCAACAAATGCTAGCTAGATTTTTAGGTGTCTTACCTATCCTCACCCCTTCCTTGTGTGCTCTCGCTTTTATCATGTGCTCATAGTCCAGTCCCCTTGTTGTGTTTGCCCTTGATCTAATGTCCACATATGAGGGAGAACATACGATTTTTGGTCTTTTGGGCCAGGCTAACCTCACTCAGAATGATGTTCTCCAATTCCATCCATTTACCAGCGAATGATAACATTTCATTCTTCATGGCTGCATAAAATTCCATTGTGTATAGATACCACATTTTCTTAATCCATTCGTCAGTGCTGGGGCATCTTGGCTGTTTCCATAACTTGGCTATTGTGAATAGTGCCGCAATAAACATGGGTGTGCAGGTGCCTCTGGAGTAACCTGTGTCACAGTCTTTTGGGTATATCCCCAAGAGTGGTATTGCTGGATCAAATGGTAGATCCATGTCTAGCTTTTTAAGTAGCCTCCAAATTTTTTTCCAGAGTGGTTGTACTAGTCTACATTCCCACCAACAGTGTAAGAGGGTTCCTTTTTCCCCGCGTCCTCGCCAACACTTGTTGTTGGTGGTGTTGCTGATGATGGCTATTCTAACAGGGGTGAGGTGGAATCTTAGTGTGATTTTAATTTGCATTTCCTTTATTGCTAGAGATGGTGAGCATTTTTTCATGTGTTTTCTGGCCATTTGAATTTCTTCTTTTGAGAAAGTTCTGTTTAGTTCACTTGCCCATTTCTTTATTGGTTCATTAGTTTTGGGAGAATTTAGTTTTTTAAGTTCCCTATATATTCTGGTTATCAGTCCTTTGTCTGATATATAGCTGGCAAATATTTTCTCCCACTCTGTGGGTGTTCTCTTAAGTTTAGAGACCATTTCTTTTGATGAACAGAAGCTTTTTAGTTTTATGAGGTCCCATTTATCTATGCTATCTCTTAGTTGCTGTGCTGCTGGGGTTTCATTGAGAAAGTTCTTACCTATACCTACTAACTCCAGAGTATTTCCTACTCTTTCCTGTATCAACTTAAGAGTTTGGGGTCTGATATTAAGATCCTTGATCGATTTTGAGTTAATCTTGGTATAGGGTGATATACATGGATCTAGTTTCAGTTTTTTGCAGACTGCTAACCAGTTTTCCCAGCAGTTTTTGTTGAAGAGGCTGCTATTTCTCCATCGTATATTTTTAGCTCCTTTGTCAAAGATAAGTTGCTTATAGTTGAGTGGCTTCATATCTGAGTCCTCTATTCTGTTCCACTGGTCTTCATGTCTGTTTTTGTGCCAGTACCATATAGCTTTACCTTCTTTACCTCCTTACTATAAGCGTTTTCATTTCTAATATAAATTTTAACTATGTTGAATATTAATTTTTAAAATATTTTTTCAGTACTGGGACTTGAACTTAGGGCCTGGCACTTGCTAATCAAGCACTCCATCACTTGAGCCACTCCACCAACCATGAAATTTCTTAAATAGCCTTTTAAACAGTAGGGAAGCATCTTTTTAGAATATTAAGGCAGTATTTAAATGAGTTATTTCTTGTGTTTTCCCCTTTCCATCAATAGACATGTGGTGGTCCTGGGATATCAGACCTAAGAGCAGGAGGTGATGCGACTGACTCAAGCCAAACAGCTCTGGATAATAAAGCGTCACTGCTGCATTCAATGCCTCCTCACTCCTCTCCAAGATCTCGAGACTATAATCCATACAACTATTCAGATAACATCAGTCCCTTCAACAAGTCGGCCCTTAAGGAAGCCATGTTTGATGATGATGCTGACCAGTTTCCTGATGGTATGTTCTGGGTCATGCTACTAGTACCTATCTTTTGGAGGACTGGTAATCAACAAAGCAAACAGAATGTTTTTGCTCTGTTAATGTAACTCCCTGAAATGTAAGGTCCTTGGAATGTCTTCTGTCATCTTGTATGAGCATATTTTGAGTGGTTTGGTAGTTTTCTTACCCAGAATGAGAAGAAAGGTGGTCATTTTGAGTTCATCCTCAAAATCAAGAAAACTATAGTATCCTCCCAGAAATAACACAACCCAGTTGTAGCTTGTAAATTTAGTTTATCTCTAGACACATCTTATTCAGTCACTAATTTTTATACTAAATGGCAAAACCTTTTCAGGAAATATACTTTATTATTTATTATTGAGAAAATAATTCAAATATTATTGGGAAAATAACCCTTTATTAGTAAGATACATTCAAAGACCAGTTATAGGAAAAGCTTTCATTAGCTATTCTTCACATGAGGTCAGGTGCAGTGAACTTAGTTCTAACCATTACTAAGCTGCTTAGCCCAGTAAGATGGTTGTTCTCCCTAATTGTCACCTCTAAAACATAATAGTGGTGATTGTACTATCTGCCCTTCTCATCACAGTATGCAGTAAGGCCAGATAAGATACATGAAAAGTGATGATAAAGTACAGCCCACTACAACTATTTTGTTCCTAATGGTAAGAAATTATATTTTTTCTTCTAGGAACTACATGAACCTTTATTTATTTTTTTTTTTTTTTTTGTCTGTACTAGGGTTTGAACTCAGCCTCAAGCTTGCTAGGCAGGCGCTCTATCACTTAAGCCACCCCACCAACCTTTTTTTGTGTTGGGTATTTTTGAGATAGGATCTTTAGAACTATTTACCCAGGATGGCTTTGAACTACAATTCTCCTGATCTCTGCCTCCTGAGTAGCTAGGTTTGTAAGCATAAGCTGTCTGCTCCCTACCATGATCTGTTTCTTTAAAAAAATTTCAAAAATATATAATTAAATGTAAATAAACTTGAAAATTTCCCTTTCATTTGTTTTATAATTCTGGATTTGGTTGGGGTTTTTGTGTGTATGTGTGTTTTTTTGTTTTGTTTTGTTTTGTGGTGGGACTGAGGTTTGAACACACACCTTGTCCTTGCTAAGCAAGCACTCTGCCACTTGAACCAGACCACTTGCATTTTTTGCTGATTCTTTTTTTTTTTTCTTTAGATAGGGTCTCACTTTCTTTTTTGCCTGGGACCAAAATCTACCTACCTACACTTTCCACATAGCTGGAATTATCCATGCAAGCCATCACACCAGACTGGTTTTTCTTTTTTCCCATAATACTGCTATCAGCAAATATATTTCTGCATAAACTTTTATGCATATGTATAAGTAATTCACTCTTAAGAGATTTATAGAGATGTAATTGCTCAATTAAGGGATATGGGAGGTGGGGGTTTGACTCAAGTGGTGGTTTAGTGCTTTAAACCACTGCTGGGGGGAGAGGGGTATAAAAAAAAGGCTATTTAAAGCTTAGGAATTACTACCCAATGATACCTCAAAACACTTGGCCAATTTAAGTAGTGCTGATTTCCTTACCAATACAAAGTGTTTATATGTTTTTCATTTTTCTGATTGTAATGGGTTCAAAATAGGTCATCCTAATTCTCAGATTCTTTAGAGAGATTAAGAAGTTAGAGATCTTGGTTTTGGGGGGGATTTTTTAATATTGTTTTGTTTTGAAGTGCTGGGCAAGTTCTATACATCTCCAACCCTCAATTTTTATTTTTTTTGATGAATGAAAGATTATCTTCATTTGTATTTTTCAGATTACATATGAGGCTAAATGCTTATGTTTTAACTAACCTGTTGTGTTAAGAGACTTAATATATCACAAATATCATAAAGCCAAAGATAAGACAAGTTACCAAACTAAATCTAAATTACATAAGAATCTATAACATTGCCAGAATTATGAATTATGGTATGTTTGATCTATTTATGCACAAGAGTTACAAACTGGCAGTGACTCAAGTGACTATAAATGTATATGTATATATATCTACATATATATACATTTTTTAATTTAAAATAATTATAAAAGCTTGAAAGTTTGCATTCAGTACAAAGAACTTTTCCTGAATCATTTGAAAGTAATTTGCTAACCTAATGCTTCATCATCCTAATTAATAAGGATCCATTTTCTGCAGAGACAGACTTTTACATATTATATACTTTTTACATGCTCATCAAAATCAGGAAATTTTCATCATTATGAAAATGATCATTTTCATTAATAACCACTTACTACTTAAACCCCACTAGAGTTTTACCACTTGTCCCAATAATAAATTTTTCCCATTTTTTTGATTGTGTTAAAATACACATAACATAAAATTACTTTCTTAGCCATTTTAAGTATATAGATTAGCGGTACTGAACATTCATACTCTTGTACAACCATCCATCTCCATAACTTGCAAAACTGAAATTCCTTTCTTTTTTTTTTTTTTGATGGGACTGGAGTTTGAACTCAGGGCTTCAAGCTTGCAAAGCATACACTCTACCACTTGAGCCAGTCCATTTTTCTTTCATTATTTTGGAAATAGGTCTCACAAACTAGATTACCTCAAACCATGATCCTCCCGATTGATCTCAGCCTCACAAGTAGCTAGAGTTACAGGTGTGAGCCACTGGCACCCAGGGTAATACTTAAACTCTACACCCATTAAGTAATAACTACCCACGGCACTGGTAGCTCTCACCTGTAATCCTGACTGGCATTGGGAGGCAGAGATAAGAGGATCATGGCTCGAAACCAGCCTGGGGAAATAGTTCCCAAGATCCTGTCTTGAAAATACCCAGCAAAAAACAGGGCTTGTGGGGGCATCAAGTGGTAGAGCACCTGCCTTGCAACATTCAAGCCCTGAGTTCAAACCCCAATACCACAAAAAATGATAATAACTTCCCATTCCTTTCTGTCTTTAGCCCCTGACAGCAGCATGTTTACCGTCTGTCTTTATGATTTTGACTACTCCAGTCACCTCATATAAATGCACTCATACAGTGGTACTCTTTTTGGGACTAACTCATTTCATTTGGTAGGATGTCCTCAAGATTTATTTGTGTTATACATATGTCAGAATTTCCTTCTTCTTTTAGAGTAAATACTACTCCATTGTATGTTTACCACATTTTACTCCTTTCATGGATGCTTGGGTCACTTCCACATGTTGGCTATTGTGAATAATTCTGCTGTGTATATAGGTGTTCAAATAATCTGTTTTACGTTTTTGAGACTGTCCACTATGTAGCCCAGGCTGGCCTTGAACTCACAATTCTCCTGCCTCCATCTCATGAGCGCTGGAATTACAGGCATGTATCAGTGTGCCCAGCTTGTTTTTAGTTCTTTCAGGTATATACCCAAAAATAGAATCCCTGGATCATATGATAATTCTATTTTTTAACTTTTTAAGATACCACTATACTGTTTTCCACAAAAAGTATACCATTTTACATTCCTACCAGTAGTATACAGGACTCCAGTTTCTCCATGTCCTTGCCAATACTTGAGGTTTTGTTTTTTGTGGGGCGTAGGGGGAGTACTACTGGGGTTTTAACCTTAATCTTGCTGGGCAGGTGTTGTACCACTTGAGCCATGCCCCAAGTCCTTTGTTGTTGTTTTAATAGCACCATTCTAATGAGTATAAGGTGTTATCTTATTGTACTTTTTAATTGTGTTTCCTAATGATTAGCAATATTGAGCATCTTTTCATACACTTTTGCTTATCCTCTTTGGAGAAAAATCTGTTCAAGTCTTCTACCCATTTTTGGAATTGGGTTGTTTGTTTTTGTTGAATTGTAGGAGTTGTCTATATATTCTTGATGAATAATTCTTTATCAGATATATGATTTGTTTATTTTCCCCCATTCTATGGGTTGCCTTTTTACTCTGTTGGGGTTGTCTCTTTATACACAAAATTTCTATGAAGTCCAATTTTACTTATTTTTCTTTATCACCTATGCATTTGGTGTCATATCCCAGAAACCATTGCTAAATCCAATGTTGTAAAGTCTTTACCCTGTTTTTTTTCTAAGATTTTTAAGTTTTTTGTCTTAAATTTAGGTCTTTGATCCATTTTGAGTAAATTCTTTATGTATGGTGTGAGGTATGATGTTCGACCTTATACTTTTCCACGTGGATGTCCAGTTTTACCTACATCATTTGTTGGAAAGACTGTCCTTTGCTTATTTGATGGCCTTGGCACCATTGTCATAAATCCTTTGACCATATATGCAAGCATTTGTTTTTGTGCTCTCTCATGTATCCTCTTGGTCTGTCTGTCTGTATTTATGCCAATAATACACTGTTCTGATTATTGTAGCTTTATAGAAAGTTTTGAAATCAGAATGTTTGACTCTTGTAGCTTTGTTCTTTTTCAAGATTGTTTGGGCTATCAGGATCACTTGCAGTTGCACATGAATTTTAGGATAGATTTTTCTGTTTCTGCCTAAATGTCATTGGGATTCTGTAGTGATTGCATTGAATCTATAGATTACTTTGGATGATACTGACATTTTAGCAATACTGTCTTTGAATCCACAAATATGAAATGTGTTTCCATTTATTTTAAAATACAGTCATCTTTACCATTCCATATTTACCATTTCCATGTTTGTAGATTCAGTCAACCACTGATTTAAAATATTTTGGGGAAAATTCCACAAAGTTCCAAAAAAGCAAAATATGAATTTGCTGCACATTGAGTACTATGTTAGCCCATGTGCGTACTACCAAGCTCAGCTTTTAATGAGATGGGGGAGTCTCAGGCTGGCCTCAACCCGTGATCCCCCATCTCCACTTTCTCAACCCATGATCCCCTATCTCCGCTTCCCAAGGAGCTAGGATTATAGGCGTAAGCCCCTGTGCCTGGCTTGTTGAAGCTTTTTACAAGGATAATTCATAAAGGATATTGGTCTGCAGTTTCCTTTCCCTATAAAGTGGCTTTGTCTGACTTGCTTATCAGGATAAATGCTGGCCTCATAGAATGAGTATAAAAATGTTCTCTTCTCTTCAGATTTTTGGAAAAATTTGAGAAGGATTTGATTAATTCTTCTTTAAATATTTGGTAGAATTCAGCAGTGAAGCCCTTAGGTTTAGGATTTGCCCTTGTCAGCAGATTTTGATTACTGATTTTATCTCTTTATGACTTAAATAAGTTTATTCTGATTTTCTTTGTGATTTAGACTGAGTATGTTTTATGTTTCTAGGAATTTGTCCGTTTCATCTAGGTTATCCAATCTGCTAGCATACGGTAGTTCCATAGTGTTCTCTTACAGAAATCCTTTTGATTTCTGTAGAATCAGCAGCGATGTCCCTACTTTTATTTCTGATTTCAGAAATTTGAAAGTCTTCTCTCTTTAATTCTTAGTTCATCTGTTGTTGGTATTTTCAGAGAACCAGCTTTTGGTTTCATTGATTTTTTTCTTTTGTTTTTCTGTCTTTTGTTTATCTCTAATGTTTATTATTTCCTTCATTCTAGTAACTTCAGGTTTAGTTTGTTCTTTTTCTAGTTCTTCAAGTTGTAAGGTTAGATTGTTGGTTTTGAGATCTTTGTTGGTTTTGTCATTTTGTTTGCTCTTTGGAAAGGAAGAAATAAACTGTCTTTAC